CAGAATTTTACCGTTTATTTCAAGAAGAACTTGCCCCAATATTCCACAAGCCACTCAGAACAGTAAAAGGGAAGGCAGTCCTTCCAAAATCTTCTGCAAAGCCTACATCACCCTAAAACCAAAGCCAGATAGTGACACAACAGAGAAAAAGAAAAAAAAACTACAAACTGATATTCTTGGTGAACATAGATGCAAAGATCCTCCTGGATTGGTAGAATCAACATCATCAAATGTCCATTATACTGAGAGTTTAATACAGATTCTATGCTGTCCAATTAAAATCCCAGCAATATTTTTCTTATTTTTATCAGAAATAAAGCAAGATGTTACAAAAAAAAAAATACATCTGTAGACACAAGCAACCACAGTATCTAAAGATATCTTAAAGAAGAAAAACAAGACTCCAAGAATCCAAATCCAGATTTCAAGAGGTACTATAGGGCAGTGGTAATCAAAACAAGCTGGTACTGATATAAAAAAAGAGAAGGTGAATGCAACAGGATAGAAACCCCAGAAGGGAGCCCGCACATATGCAGCCAATCAATCTTTGACAAGAAAACTGAAAATAATCCAGATAATCCAGGGGCAACATTGATCTCTTCAACAGATGCTGTTGGGACAATCGGATATCAGCTTGCAGAAGTAAGAAACAAGACCCCACCTTTCATCTTGTATGAAAACCAGCTCTAAATGGATCAAGAACCTAAATAAATACCCATAAACCATCAAGCTACTAGAGGAAAGCATAGGATGCACTCCCTAAGATACAGACATTGTAAGGATGTCCTAGAAAAGTCACCCGAAGCAGTCAAAGCTGAAATAAACAAATGGGACTACAGCAAACTGCGAAGCTTCTGTACAGCAAAGCAAATGGTCAACAAAGCTAAGAGGTAACCAGCAGAATGGAGGAAAATCTTCACGCACTACGCAACAGATAGGGAACCAATATCTAGGATTTACAAAGAGATTCAGAAAGTGACAGCAAAACAAACAACCCTGTGAAGAAATGGATTAAGAAAAGGAACAGATATTTTTCAAAAAAACAAATTCAAGTTGCTAACAAACATATGAAAAAAAATGCTCAGGCTCTCTTGCTATTAGGAAAATGTGAATAAAAACCACATTGAGTTTTTACCTAACACCAGTGAGGTTGGCCTGCATCCAGATATCTACTACTAACACCGGTTGGCGTGGATGCTGGTGGGAGTGTAGGCTAGAACAGCTACTATGGAAGTCGTTAAGACAACTGGAAATTGATTCACTGTGTGATCCAGCTATCCTATGCCTGCAGAGTTCTCCAGAAAAACTGAAATCTGCCTATGAAAAAGTGATCCACAACTTTGTATTTATGGCAACACAGTTCATAATAGCAAAGACATGAGAACAACCCAGACGCCTGTCAAAAGAATGAATAAAGGAACTGTGGTATATCTGCTCTTTGGAGTACTACTCAGGCGTTAAAAAGAATGCAGTTCAGCCATTTGCAGCAAAATGGTCCCAATCAGAGACCATTGTGCTCAGTAAGTAAGTCAATCATAAAAGACAAATATTGGATGTTCTCTCTCATATAAGTTAACATTCATGCAAAATACAAAACAAATAGATGCATAGGTGAACAAGCATGTATATATATATATATATATAAGTATATATATATATACATTCCCATAGGTGAACCATGTAACGTGGACTAGCATACCAGGAAGTGAAGATAGGTTACATTAGGCATCTGTACTCCTGAATAAAATGAGGATTCCCAAGGAAGCAGTTAAATATACCTTCAGAATGTTTTACTAGACTTTTGGCCTTTGTCTGTACCTGCAGTGCCGTTGTGCGCTTGAAGAGCAAAATATTAGAGTTGTAACTGCTGATGTGGTAATATGGAAGGAGATGGTGGGAGAGGGAAAAAGGGGAGGAAAAGATAAAATCCCTATACTTACAAAACTGTATCCTGGAAAAGAATAAAAACAACTTAAAAAGAAAATACAGGATCTACACAAATGGAATATTGTCCAGTTATTTTAAAGGAATGAAAATCTGCTTACAGGGGCCTGGCGCGATAGCGTAGTGGTTAAAGTCCTCGCCTTGCATGTGCCCGGGATCCCATATGGATACTGGTTCTATCCTGGCAGCCCTGCTTCCCTTCCAGCTCCCTGCCTGTGGCTCGGGAAAGCAGTCGAGGATGGCCCAAAGCCTTGGGACCCTGCACCCGCATGGGAGACCCGGAAGAGGCTCCTGGCTTCGGATCGGCACAGCATCGGCCGTTGCGCTCACTTGGGGAGTGAATCATCAGATGGAAGATCTTCCTCTCTGTCTCTCCTCCTCTCTGTATATCTGACTTCCCAATAAATAAATAATCTTTTTTTTTAAATAAGAGAGAATCTGCTTACAGTAAAATGCTCAATTGGAAGATATGTTGAGTGAAGTAAGCTGGATCAAGCTGTAATTACCACACATCCTCCCTTACATGTAAAAGATAAAAATTTAAAAATAAATTAGAAAAAGGTTATAAAGTGGTAATCCCATTCCCATCTTACTCGTTGCTAACTTGTTTGTGGACACGGCATATACACCGATGTGCAGTATCACTCACGAGAGCCTACTGCCTCTGTTCTCGTCCTGAGTGAAAATCACTCTTCCATGCCTGCTCTTCTGTCCGTCGAACATTGCTGACCTGTATGCACACAGCGAGGGGTCATCTTACTTTCTCTCCTGAGTCTGTGAACTCTGGGATTTTTTAACTGCAGAGAATGAATCAGCACAAAGGGACCTCCTGAAGGAACAGGCTGTCTCCCTCCGCAGCCTGATGTAAAGTCTCTGAGTTACCTGAACTGTCTCCGAGATCAAAAGGCCTTCATTCACTCCCTCTGGAACTTCTGTCTGCTGCTGGGATTTTCTTCCTACAGAAACTGTCTCATAAGTTCGTCCATATACTTTCCCAGGATTATAGGATATCAGGAACAAGAAAGCTGTTAAATGAGCATGGAAACACTCTTTATTTTTTCCTGAATTAAGCTTTTCCACACATTCAGAGAGAAAGGGTTTTCCTAGTCTTACTATATAATTGAGACACACAAAACAGTTCTAAGTTTGGCTCTCTTTGCTAAGGCTGGCCCTTTTTAGTGCATGTGGCACACCTGTCACCTCTTCACTCACCATCAGACTCAAGCTCCCTAAGTCTTGGCTTAGAATTGCTTTTCTCAGGATGCCTTGTCTAGCTCTGTCTGCCCAAGCTGCCTCCTCACAGTGTTCATTCAGAATGCCCCTAGCAGTCCAATCAGCTCTCCCTGCTAGTGGATCTGCGTCCAGCAGGTGTGAGGGTCCGGTCCTCAGCTCCATGCTCAGCCATGCCAGATGTGCTTCATATCTAAGCATAAGGAGAGGAAGGGTGTCTATATGCCTTTTGATTTGTCTTTCAAGAAAAGATGGGAAGATTTCTAGAAAGGTTCTAGAGCAACACAGTGTGTCTAACACAGAACGGCCCTTTGTAAATGCAGTACAGTCTTCCGACAGCATGCAGCCTTTCAACGAAGCCATGCAAAAGGTTAAACAAGTGGGCCTGGTGCGGTGGCGCAAGTGGTTAAGGTCCTCGCCTTGCAAGCCCGGGATCCCATATGGACGCCGGTTCTAGTCCCGGCAGCCCCGCTTCCCTTCCAGCTCCCTGCCTGTGGCCCGGGAAGGCAGTCGAGGACGGCCCAGGGCTTTGGGACCCTGCACCCGCGTGGGAGACCCAGAAGAGTCTCCTGGCTTCAGATCGGCATAGTATCGGCCCGTTGCGCTCACTTGGGGAGTGAATCATCGGACAGAAGATCTTCCTCTCTGTCTCTCCTCTCTGTATATCCGCCTTTCCAATAAAAAATAATAAATAAATCTTTAAAAAAAAAAGGTTAAACAAGTGTCAGGCAGGAAACGTAATCTATAACATAATCTACATTTTTCTCACCCTCGGCAAGGTTCATGGGTGAAACTCTCCTAATAAAGGACACGGTAACAGGAGAAGAGCGTAGCAAGTTTATTAAACCAGGTTTCAAATGACACATGAGACTTCAGAAATGAAGACCCAAAGATACCCAAGCAAAACTGTTTCTGTGGTCAGGTGTGATGAACAATTGAGCGGCTGTGACAGCTGTAGTTGGATGAAAAGGGGATGTGACCTAGTGTTAATGGACCAGGAGAAACTTAGCAAGATATGTTGACTCACACTCATCTTGGTTACTCAGCATAGTAACCTCCTGGTGGAGGGCAAGACAGATATCACGTGAGAATCTTCAAAAAGGAGGAGACAGGGAAGCACAGAGGGATTATCTGCCTCTGTGGGTTCCTCAGTTTCCTCCAGTGTAAAGGTCTCAGTATATGTGGGACTAGAATTCTCTATACCCCAACATAACTCCCATATGTTGTACTGATGTATCTATCTGTACCTTATTGTCTAATACACCGGTGTGTCTACAGCAGATTCTCAGATAGCAGTTTGCAATCGAGGTAGTTACCATACACAGGACCTGAGTCGGCTGGAGAACTGCCTACATAAAGGAGTTCCCTAGAAAAACTGAAAAGGATAGTTTGTTTAAGATGTGAGAAAAGGAATGGATCCATCGAAAGCTGGGCCACTGAAATGCTGTCATCAAGGACAAAGCCCTAGCTACGTATCCTCTTAGTTGGGGATCCTAGTTTGAAATGTATGTTTGTGGTGACCCAAAAGCTAACAAGATGTTTTGCTGTTTTTCATTATCAAGAATCTGAGTTATTCTCTCTCTCTCCAATCAGAGTTCTTGTGGAGCCTGGGAGTGAGAGGGGAAATTTCTCTTCTCGCCTGTGTCATTGTAACTGCCCGTATTGGTCAATGTGACAAAACATGAGCTGTTTGGACTCGGGAGTTTGATACCTGTCTGGTAGCAGGAAGAGTGGATGAGTGCTTTAAAATGGGAAGAAATAATGGAAATGTTAATTTGCCCGATGGATTCTTCATATTGAAAGGAGTCTGGTTTTCTTCCCAATAGGTGTTTCAGTCTGGCTTCCTGGAGGACTTACGGGGAAGGAAGAGTGTTCTCTTCCCTGCGTCCTTAGCAGCAGGTCTGATACACTGTGACTCCTGTAGGGCCTGGGAGCTGAGTTAGGTGACAGAACTCTGCATGTTAGCACACCCTAGTCACCTTCCACCCTACAGATGTCTGCCAAACTCTGTTTGCACAACACTTACGAATACACATTGACAATATACAAAATGATAAGAGAGAAACCTCTGGTGTGTTACTGATTTGTTTTATAGGAGAGGGGCTGATCATACAAAGAGATTGAATGTTGCTTCAAATTGGCAAATAGCAGTGGATCATCTTACGGTCTTGAATCTCTGAACTCCAGAAGATGGTTTTGTTTACTGAGCAGCGAATGAGATGAATATCAGGATTTCAGCACAGGACCACCTAGTGGAAGGAACAGTGTGAGACTAAGAGCGTATTGAGCTGTTGTGGAATTGAATGAAAAATATGTATGGAATGATGGGATTAGTTAGCCGTCCTACAGTTTAAGAAAAAGACATATGCAATATATTTTCTTCCCATCTGAGATTTTAGCTGAGATAATACTTTATCCTTCTATGTCCCCAGAAAGTGTTCTTTCCCCCTTTCTGGTGGTTCTGTTTTTTGATGGGGTTTGATCATAAGTCACAACGAGAAGCAGGAATAGGTTCACCTCCTGGGGCTGAAAATAGCTCAGTGCTCCTCCTCCATTAAGCTTTTTCTCTATTTCATAATCAAATGGGTGGACTACATTTCTTTCCTTCCTACTAATTTTATTTTGCTCCTAAGTAATAACAAAAGAGAAAGCAAATCGCCCGTGTGGGCGTTGGCTCTATAGTTCACCAGCTGTGTGTCCTCAGTGAATTACTTCTGTGGGCCCTCAGTTTCCCTTATTTAATCAGCCACATGATGGAAGTGTGGATGACCCCCGAAGACTGCAGCAGGATCCTGAGGCTGTGTTGGAGGCAGACACACAGAGAGGTAAGATTAAGATGCCCTCTTCTAGGACGAATTCCAAAGTCTGTGAGGCAGATGGTTAAGAGGCAGGAACCTGGGTTTTTGGAGGTCACAGAGACCTGAGTTTGAATCCAGTTTTAGAACTTACTATGTTGGCTGTCGTTGGGGAACATGTGGTTCCGGATTCTGCCATTGTATTTGTCAGAAGAGAAATACTGTTTGCACCTCATGACATAGTGATGAGAATTTACTTATTCTGATTTAAGTTGTCAGAGAGAGAGAGAGAGAGGATCGAGGGGCTTTTGTCTCCTGCTTTCCTCCCTAGAAGCCCACAGCGACAGCTAGGGCTGGGCCAGCCAGGCTGAGAATTCCATCCAGGTCTCCCATGTGGGTGGGAGGGATCCAAATACTTGGCTTGACCCATAACACACTGTCTCCCAGGGTGCGCAGTCATAGGAATCTGGAACAGAGCCAGATCGTAAACTCAGATGCTCCAATCTGGAATGCAGTCAGCACAAGCAATAGAGACAGGTCTTCCACCTGCTGCTTCATTCCCCTAGTAGCACCAGGCCTCATCCAGGAGTGAGGAGCTTCATCCAGATCCCCCACTTGATTGGCAGGGAACCAAACCTTGGGGCCATCTTTTGCTGCCTCTTCCAGGCCATTAGCAACAAGTTGGATTGAAATGAGGGAACAGATCTTTGAACTGGTGCCCATAAAGAACGCAAGTACCACAGACAGTGGCTCTGTATGCTGTGCCACAGTGTTGGCCCCACCCTATCTTAACCGCCCACAAAATGCCTGCCCTGTTTTAAGAACTGAAGGAAAAAAGCAGATGAATGGAAGCTCTAGTTCCCCATAAATTATTGAGGATATCAAGCTCTGTCCGTCTGTCACCAGCAATCTGTAAAGATGCGCCTGCGATGGGGCCAGATGTGTCTGCTGGGTCCTGGGTCACCAGAAAGCTCCTACATCCAGAATATTGAATCCTCATGGACTCAGGAAAACAAAGGTAGGCTTCCCTGAAACAGGGCTGGATAAACACAGTGTCTCCAACAAGGGACTTTGGTTGGAAATATCCATTTGTGATGCCAGTCCTAGTTGGCAAGACTCACTTTCCAAGAGGGAAACTCCCTCTGCAATGGCTCAGGGAAAGAGGCCAGACTTCACCCTGTCTTGTTCCAGAAAACAAGAATCTCTCAGTCGGTGTTTACGAGAAGGTTGTCAATTTCTCTGCAGCTGGAGGTGAAAAGAATGCCACTCTCTTGTCAGCCCAGCAAAGCCCCTGGAATGTGCTGTGGGCATGGAGTGGTTTCTCTGTGTGTGCGCGCACACACAAGCTTGTGCACAGGCGGGCACACATTTGCCCTGGGGAGGGCGTGGGAGGGGTGCCAGGAAGCAGATGTATTGGAACAACAGCCTCAGAGCTGGGACTTGCCTCCTACACTTGTACACTGTGTTTGTTGTGCATAAGGGGTTGGGTGATGAGCCAGAAATAATTCTCAACTGGGACAGAGCTGGGTGGCTTCCTACTGGTTTGCTCAGGGGGAGGTGCCCCCTGATTTGCCCTGGTGGCACTGCTGTTGACAGATGATGGGGGCCCCCCTCAGTTTAGACCCCCACATTGAGAATGTGGAGTGGAACACTGAAGAAGGAAAGAAAGGTTTGCTCAGTAGGACACACTACGCGCTGTGGATGGATGCATGAGATGCTCTTGCAAGCTGCCTGGAGCCTGTGTCCTTGCATAGAAATCTCAAACTGGGTGAGGAGGGGAAAACGTCGTCTATGATAGCAGGCTTCGTATAGGTGGCACTGGATTGTGTCTTGTTTTAGTTCTGAACTGTCCCTGTGCTTTTATCCCAGTAGGAAGAGCTAAGAAATCCAGCGTTAGTGGAAATGGGTAGTCACCCTTGGTCCTATTCTGCTAAAACGGTTCCTAACTCCCACTCCTTACTCTTGGAGAAATGCACCAGGGAAGAATTCATGAAAAGCTTAAGGCAAAAGACGCGTGTACTCCCGGGACCCGGTTCTAACAAGGGTTCCTGGGGAAAGCGGTGTCCTCCACGTTTGTTACGCTTAGCTTCCGCTTTCATTTTTCAGCAACTTGTGAGGCTGTAGGCATCTGCGTTGTCCACTCTTCTACCTCCCAGCCTCCTGGATCTAAGTCTTCCAGGGCCAAATGGAGCCAAAAAACAAACGAATCTCCTTGTTGTATCCTTAGTAACCCTATGTTTTGAAGTAGTGAGGATATCATTTGGGGGCAAGAGGCCACGGAAATATGTTTGTGAAGCAAAAGCAGCAGTCATGAGAGTAATGATAGCATCCCTCCCACTGCCCCACTCTGTACTGCAAAGCTCTGTCTTGGCAGGGGTCCTGGGGCTGGCAGGCTTCACCCACTACATCTCCCACTTCTCCTGTTGGCTGGACTCCCACTCTCCTCTTGGCGTCCCTCGATTCCTGGCAGGCTACGTTAATCCCACATAATATTTTACGCAAATTTATATGAACCCCTTTACAAAGCCTAGCAAGGAAGCACTGTTTCTTTTCCTTGATAGAATTAATCACTTAGAACTTGGCTCCGAGAAACCAGTCCCACTTGCGGGTCCTTCGTTCTGGCCTCTAAGAAGCATTCCCAGAAGAAGGAAAGATTTCTCATCTTTTTGCCTGGTCCTGGCCCCCCAATGTGTTGTCTCTCTGGGAATTCCCACCAGTCTTCTTTGAACAGCTCTTCCACACGTTGCCTGGGAATTTCTCCATGAAATCTTAGATCTGCACCAGCCCCTTGGGGTTCAAATTCCCACACACCCCTGGGTGGTTTAGATTGTTGTCTGTATCAACAGCAAGATAAACTTATTGTGGCTGCCCAGGCTTCCCTAAAGACTTGTGGGAACCATTTGTGAATTACTTCTTTGATTTTTCTTATATAGAATTTTATTTCCACTCAGATGACAGTTTCCCAGAGCAGAAATCAATGAAGACGCTGAGCTCTGGGTTTTCAATTAGGATAATTAAAGCTAAGACTAACAGCACCTCACACTGCCCCTGTAGCCTTATTCATAAGGAACGCCGTAACTGCAGTAATTTTTCACCACTGGACAGAAGATCCAAGGAGTGGAGTGTGTATATATCCCGGCACATACATATGGCTTCCACATATAGACTGTACTACAAAAACAGAGTAGAGTTTCTCTGTTCTTGTTTTCTTTAAGCAAAGACGAATAGCAGATTGCTGCATCTAGCACCTCAAAGTTTTCAACAAGTTGTGACGAATGGAAAAAGAGTAACTATAGACGGAGTTGCGTTTTGCAGGCAGCGTGGGTGGCAGTGGCCTTCTTTTTTTCCTAACTGGTGTGAGTGACGGGCTACTTGACTGAGCTTATGGCAATGGCATTGGGAGTGCGTTGTCTGTCTTTGATCTGAATACCCGACTCTCCATCTTTTTTTTTTTTTTTTTATCAAGGGGTCATGACAACATGCACATACACCTGGAAGCCTTCTCAGGGAGCCACAGACAGCACTGGGTAGGATACCTGTGAATGCCATCTATCAGTTCTCCGTGTTATTGATCAAAATGTCAATGCCTTCTTAAAAAAAAAAGCAAAAATCCAGGCATAGACATTGAGCCTAAAAGTCAGGACAGCTGCATCCCACATTGGCATTTTCAGTTCATTTTCCAAGCTCGTTTCTGTGCTCTCATATGGGCCTAGGGAGACAACAGTGATGGCTCAAGCAACTGATTTTCTGCCTTCCACATGGGATGTCCAGATTGAGTTCCCAGCACCTGACTTGGTCTAAGGATAGTATGGGAATTTGGGTGGGGGGTGGTGTCGTTGGAGTGTAAACCAGTCGGCAGAAGATCTTTCTGTCTCACTGTTTCTGTGCTTCTCAACCAAATAAACTTATTGACTAACTAATATAAAACCTCTAAAGCTTAGATAAATGGTCAGATTTATTGAAGTCCCACAACAGTTTAGGAGCACAGGCTGCACTCAGCAGAACTATTTAGAGTTTTTTTTTTCTTAAATAAAGATTTATTTATTTTTATTTGAAAGAAATATGGAGATGAGCGAGAGGGAGTGGGGTTAGAGGAGAGAGAGCTCCTCCATCTGCTGATTCACTTCCCAAATGGCTACAGTACCAAGGTGCGACTGGTCTGGAACTAGGGGCCTAGAGCGTCTTCTGGGTCTCCCATGTGGGTGCAGGGGCCCTAATGATCTGGGCCATCTTCCATTGCCGCCCCAAGCCATTGGTGGGGAGCTGGAATGGAAGTGGAATGGCCAGTTCACAAGTGGAGGATTAACTGGCGGTCCATGGCACCAGACACCACTACTTCTGATCTCTTGTCTCATTTATTTTTCTTAACTTCATCTACTGCCACTCCATGTTAAAATGCTTCAAGCAGCATACTGGCCCGGCAGTTTTGTAGTAGAATACTGGTTCAGAAGGATTCCATATCGCATTGCTCTCAGCACACTGACAACAAATCAAAAGGGAGTGAACATGTGTTTATTCTACCAGCCAGCTGCCAACAAGCCTTACTGTAGCATATGTGTGTGAAACTCAGTAACTATTCTACACCTAAATTAAAGTTAACACACTCATGTGCTTGTGTGTGTGTGTGCACATGAACATTTCTACATAAAATTTACCTGATAAGATCATGTCCTTGCTCTTTCAAGGAGATTTTCAGTTTTAAAATAGGATTTACTTTAAAGAAATTTAGCAAATAGATAGCAATTCCCATACACTAGCTTATTGTTAAGATGTAACAATAATATGGTGAATGCTTCAAAAGTAATGACCCAGGGTTGATACTTTACTGTTAACTAAAATCTATACTTAGTTCAAATTCCTTTAGGTTTTATCTATTACACTTTTTTTTTTTATCCTGGGTACAGTGTTATATTTTTACTGGTTATTTTCTTCCCATATTGTCTGTAATGTGGTCTGCTAGGACTTCTTGTTTTAAAATTGTCATTATTTTAAAAGACACAGAGAGATAGGCAGAGAAAGAGCTCCTATTTGCTGGTTCACTACCTAAGTGCCCTTGACAATTAGGGCTAAGCTCAGAACAAAATCCAGGTCTCCACTTGGGTGGCAAGGATCCAAGCAAGACTTGGGAGTGGAGCCGGGGCATTCTGATACGAAATATGAGAACCCCAAGAGACACCTTAGCTGTTGTTTTCAGCATTCACCCCTCCCTGGTTTTGATTCCCTTGAAATAAGTGGTTTGGGGTATGTCATGGAAAATCGTGATGAGTAAACTTTATTCTGATCATATGTCCTTGAGGAAATATTCTCTTCTCAGTGTGTCTCATCCCTTGGTGTTCACCTTGACTACCTGCTGCAGGTAGTGTGTGTCTCATTTCTTTCCCTATAAAGTTAATTTCTTCACAGATTTAAGATTGCACTCTTTGGAAGGAAGTCCCTTGGTGTCCTCCATGCTTGAGAAATGCTGTTCTTCCAGATGGGGGCAATATCTGCATCTTGCTTGGAAGGCACTTTTCGTTTGCGAACCTTGAGAGCAATGCCATCGTTAGAAATGGTAGAGCAGCCTTGAATGTGGAGGAAAAGCTGTGCATTTTGTGCAGTGATGCCCGCGTCCCACACACGAGCGCCTGGGTATGAATTCCAGCTTGGTTTCTAATTCCAGTTTTCTGCCACGAACACTCTGGGATACAGTAGATGATGGGTGAAGCAGTTGGGATTCGGCCATCCTTGTGAGAGACCTGGGCTCCTGTCTTTGGCCTGGCCCAGCCCAGGCAGTTGTGGGTACTTGGGAAGTGAAACAATGGCATTTCTCTCTCAATCTCTTTCTGTTCCTAAAAGAATAGATCCAAAAACAGGGACATGGGAATAAAGGTAAGATTTTTAAAAGTATCAGGAGACAGCTAGATTTTTTTCTTCTTGGTTTGAGTGAGGACCTGATTGAATAACTTGCTTATTGTACAGCCACCTGTGTGCAGGTTAAACTTACGGCGTTTCATAATTCACTCCATAAACAACTTTTGGTGCTTGTTCTTTGTTCAGTGCTGAGGTCCATCCATTTGACCTTCACAGTGATACCACTCAGCCTCTGTTTTCAGATGAGGACACTGCAGCACAAAGCCGACACTGGGTCTCCCTTGGTAAAGCTGCAAAGAGCCTCTGGCTTTTGGACAGTGAGGACAGTGCGTTGACCACACTCAGCGGTGTGGTCACCCTCATACCACCAAGAACAGGACAAACTGCTTTTATTAAATGTTTCCAAGAGGGCCCCTTATTTACTGAGCCATCCTGGCCACCGAGACATCAAGGACTCAGCTTCAAGTTTTATTTGGCTCATCCTGGGATTCCAGCTGCTCTGGCCACAGACTCCCTGCCCCTCTTCCCTGAAAGCCCTACCCTCTGCCAACTTTTCTCTTGGATCTGTTGAAATTCTACTACTGAAAAGAAGTAGTATATGGAGTAGTCTCGTGTACCTATTGTTTAAAGGTGTATCAGTGTATTTATATGGAATTATTGCTGTAGTATGCCAGTGTGCACGGAGGAGCTCCATTTATTCTGGCACTTTATAAACTAGCCCGGAGTTGTTGTGGCAAATAACGAAAGAACTGAAGGTTTGGGCTGAAATGACTTAGAAAGAGAGAGTCAGCTAGACAGAGGAGAATTCTCAAAGATCAAATTAACCTTATCACCTGTATCTGTGATGTTCACCGTCACGCTTTTCCTTTTCCATTCCTGAGCCTTCTTTCACAGTCAACTACAGCAGTTGACACCAAAACTATTGGTGGTCTCAGTTTCATTCTGTGAGTGGATTAAGGTTAAAGTCAAGATCTGTATTCCTCAATATTTTAGGAACAGAAGCTCTCCAAGTTCAACGATATTCACTGCCCATAGTTTCCCAACACTACACGTGTTCGGAGTTTACAGACAGCATCTTGTTCTTCTCTTTAGCTCTTCTAGTCTTCATGCTTTTTTAGCTGCTTTTGATCAGCTAGGATCCCTACAGCTAATATACTCTGTATACAAATGCCCACTCAACAAAAAATATCCATTATTCTGGAATTATTTTTCCTTCCTTCTGGATAATGAGTTTGTCGACCTCAAGGCAACTAATTTTTAGCAGGTTTATGGCAGAAAGGAAAATATCATCTAGATTTTGTTTCTTATTATCCCATGTGCCTGGTGGGTGGAAGGGAAGTGGTCTAGCCAATAGAGTCAGGAGATCACGGATGAAAGGGACCCCCTACCACCTCGTACTTGAGTGGCAGGAAGGAAATCGCTTAAACGATTTCGCAGTCAAATCAAAATCTGAATGTCACTATGACATGGATCTGGAAGACAGAAAAGAGGTTTTAGCAAAGAAAAAAACAATGAAACAAAATAAAACTATATTCTATACTGGCCCCCAAATCAATTTTGCCTCTTGTTGCCTTCAAGTCCATCTTATAGCCAATACACACTAATGCCAGTGTCCTGTTTTTCAAAATAACAAGTGAACTGTTTCCGTTTTATTTTTAGAGTAGGAATGTGCTAGGAAAACCTATGTTTTTTTTCAGAGAAATATTGGTTTCTTCCCAGTGACTACGGACCAAGAAAAGAGCTCAAGAATTTCTGCTTTACTTGTCAAAAAGTTTTAGATGCATGAGGCACAATTCCTAAAAAAAAAAAAAAAAAAATTCAAGCAAACATCAACTATTTTATGCATCATATGAAGATTTATGTAGGAATCATCTCTTTGCTACAAACTGGACTATACAGTTATTTGAAAATCTGTCTCTAAGAAATATTTGTAAGAAAAAAAAAGAGGACAAAGTCTAGGACCCAGCATGATAGCCTAGCAGCTAAAGTGCTTGCCTTACACACACCGGGACCCCTTATAGGGTTTGATTCTAATCCCAGAGGCCCCACTTCCCATCCAGTCCTCTGCTTGTGGCCTGGGAGAGCAGTCAAGGATGGCGCAAAGCCTTGGGACCCTGAACACATGTGGGAGGGCTGGAAGAGGCTCCCGGCTCCGGCTTCGGATTGGCTCAGTTCTAGCTATTGCAGGAGAATGAATCAATGAATGGAAGATCTTCCTCTCTGTCTCTCCTCTTCTCCATATATCTGACTTTCCATTAAAAATAAAATAAAGTTTAAAAAGGAAAAAGAATAAAGTCTAAATTGCAAGCACAAAAAAACAGGACAAAGTTGTAAATATTATCTGTGCCATATTAGAAAGATCAACATAATATGTCTCTTCCAATTATATAAATCCATTTTGATGAAAGGTTACAGTATTTGAAAATTTTTTCCATCTTCCCTCGTTCCTTTTTCTTATGTACGTAGGATAGGGAAAAGGAATCAGAATCGATAAATACAAAATATTAAATGTACAAAAAGTCTTTCAAAACATATTATTTGTTGTGGGCCTCACAATATTAAAAGGTTGGATCTCTGCAACGTTTGTTGGTGAGGGAAATGAATGGCATGAAACAGGAAAGGGATAAGACAATACAAGAACTCAGAGAAAATGCAAGGTGCATTTGCATAATCGTTGAGTGCTGAGAAAATAATACACTCTATCCATCATCTATCTATCCTTAGATGTTGTTCTGCCCAAGCACACATAATAGTTTATGCCTTGCAGCAACATACATAAAACCCTACCAATTTTTCCTTTTTAACAGGCTTCCCTACACCAAACCTACCTCATCTTTCCTTTTGGTTGGCACATATGTTCATTTTATAGAGTGATTTTGTGCCTTTGTCTAAGTCCATCTTCCAGTTCCACTGGGCCTCATTGAGGTTACACTCTTCTTTCAACCTTTGCCTGCTCTGTCTTAATAGCATTTGAGTATTGACCCAACTGCTTCTCTCAAACTCCTGTACTTCCTACACTACTTACATGGCTTTTTTTCCCCTTGTTTTTTAAACTTTATTTTTGGTGATGTTTACATAGCCGAAAAGGATGCATGCCCATGTGGACCAGCAACCAAGAGTGGGAAGGGTGAAGGAATAGAGGAAAGTGGGCAAGACCATTATTTCACAATTTTCTTTTTCTTCTTCCTGTACCTGGGGAAAGGGGGTAGAGAATGGGAGGAGCCATATCCAGCAGGCCACCAGATGTCATTCCAGGGTCCCTGATATGGAACATGCTCCAAGGGTACCACTCAAGTGATTTTAATAGTTCTGAGATGCTGTTGATTTTGTTGCTCCAGGGATAAGGAAGTCCTTCCAAGGTCCATTGGCTGACAGTCCACCTTAGAGTTTCCATTTTCACAGCTACTTGCTGTCAAAACCTGGCTGGGAGACCTGTCCAATTTGTTTTGCCCTACATCCTCTGCTATGGTATTTTTCTTGAACTTTAGACTGTCTGTAGAGCACAAGCAACACATGCATTGTTTCTGAAATATTTACATATGCATTGGTATGACTTACTGTTAAATTGTCAAGGCAGGAAAATATCCCTGAAGTGGGTACTGTACTGTTAGCATGGATCTTCATAGTTCTGATGTTAAACTTGTTAGTGCACACATATTGAGAGGTAGTTGGTTTGGCTTTGTTTGAGAAAGATGCAGGCAGTATTTTGCAAGTGGCTTAAAACATCTGCATGAAATTATTTTCTTGTGTAGCAGAAGGAATTACATAAAGTGGAGTGAATGTGGGTAACATTGATAACAGATTTATATTATATATTTAAAGTATTATATATTTAGAGTATATACCATATGCTATATACCACTTTACTTGAGTCTTCTGGATCTGTTATTATACCCACTATTTTAAAGATGAAGGTATTAAATATAAGAGAGATTATATAGCTTGCTGAGAAACAAAATGTAAACCCTTGTCTTCTGTCTCAAAACCAAGGATCTTCTGCAACGTCAATGTATTGCTTTCCCAAGAAGATGTCATAACATAGACTATTGGGTGAGTATGATTAAATATAGAATTAAAATAAAATAAATCAGAGATTAAGTAAATTTGATATTTATTGCAGTTTTTTAACCTAAGTATTCTTAAACATTAAGAATCTCAGATAACTTCTTACAAGAAAGTTTCATTTAGGATTTATAAAAGTGTGTGTGGAAGGGACAAGGGCAGGTGCAGGAAGAATAAATGAGGATTGGAAAAGCCCCAGTATGTATGGAGAACTTCCTCAGTAGAGCAGTGAAAGTGATACCTAACTCAAGATGAAGGACCGAGTTTGAATTTAGTTTTATCAGTCAGTTTTGCTGCTGTGTTGCTGTGTATAAAATAAGTCCCAGATCTCAGAAACATACTATCCCTGGAATCTACAGACTGCATATGCCTCTGCTGGGTTTAATTAAGTTGTTCTAGCATCTTGTGGATCTATTTGCAGGTTTCAGGCCATGTTTTCTCAGCCAAGGAGCTGGGCTACAAGAACTCTAATGACCAGGAGTACGCTTGTTAGTGGAAGACGTCAGAAACTCAAAAGACAAGTGGGTTCTTATGTTTGCTATTAACAGCTCCATACAAATTCTTTGTTACTTCCATTCACTCGTTTTGGCAAAACAAAGTGACATATTTAGGGCCAGTATCCCTAAGGTGGAGAAATAAACAGTGCTGTGCCCAGAGGGAAGCAATACCAAGGGCAAAGGAACAGAAAACATTGTGAACCAATCGTACTCTCTATTGACATTCGTATAATTCTTGGGGGGAGGAGTAGGCCAGTGATGGAAAGCCATAAAAATTGGAAAGGGGGCTGGCATGAAGGCTCAATGGGCTAATCTTCTGTTCGCAGACAGTCTCTCATAATGCCATGTTGTGTCCTGGCTGCTCCAATTCTCAAATTCCTGCTTGTGGCCTGGGAAGGCACCAGAAGATGGCCCAAAGGCTTGAAACCCTACAGCCTCATGGGACACCTGGAAAAGGCTCTTGGCTCCTCGCTTTGGACTGGCTAAGTTCTGGCCACTGCAGCTAATTGGGGAGTGAACCAGCAGATGGAAGACCTTTCTGTCTTCTCTTTGTAGAAAATATGCCTTTCCAATAAAAATAGACTTAAAAGATTAGAAAGGAGTTTACATAATTGTAGGGAGTATTCTCTTGAGCTAGAACATGGTATAATAAAATTAGAACTATGGGAGCAAGTGTGGAAAAGAATGAGTTACCATGGAGAGCAGTGCTTGCTACAGTAACCCAAAGACTCACCAAATGGTACATTGAGAGTAAAGAGGCAAAGTAAATAATAAAAGATATACTTGTAAGGAAGTAATGCAGAAAATGTTTTTCTTATTTGTCTAAAACTTTAGTATTGTGTCTTAGAAGAACATGTCATCTCTAAAGCAAAGGGGGCTGGGCTAGGACTAGAATGACGAGTCTCTAGGAATTGCTGACATTAGATGACATTGAACTGCCACATGGAGGCATGGTGGCCTGCACTGTGGTACAGTGAGACATTCCATATTGCTTTGAGCCCAGGTTCTTCACTTCTAATCAGCTCCCTGCTACTTCTCCTAGGAAAGAAGCAGCAAATGGCTCATGGCTGTGAACCCCTGAAACCCGGGACAAGGATTAGAGCTCCTGGATGCTGGCTTCAGGTTGATCCAGATTTGGCTGAAAGAGCAACTGGTAAGTAAGCCAGCAGATGAAAGATCTTACCCTAGCTCTCCCTTGCAAATGAATGAATAACTACCTTTGACAAAGAAATGCGTATTGGAATCAGTAATCATATAAGGAATACAGATCAGAAATATAATATCTCCATAAAGGTGATGATCTCAATCATATAAATTTACTAAATCCCTTAACTGATTGATAGAGGTATTAGTTTATTAAGAAAAGATATCAAATTATCATAATCCTATGAATACTTTATTTTCTAATGAGCCATATGGCCACAGCATATGGAGAGCAGGTAACATTTTCAAGGTTACCTGATCACTGTTCTTCTAGTATTCCCAGATGTATTAGGTAAAATAAAGTATTTTCTTTGGGCCTTCAAGAGATTCTAGGGTGGGTGGGTGTAAAGTTTCCAGGTCCTGGGCCATCCTCTCAAAGCCAAAGAAAACATGGTAATTACTATCTTGACTGGCTCAGATAAGGAAGAAGGAAAAACTTTAAGAAAGTTTACCAGAACAGAAGATTGCTGTGCCAAAGTCCTGATGGTCACCCCTAATGAGACCAGGCATCCCAGGAAGAAATTCCCCTGGGTTAGGACACAGGCCAGAGACTTTCTGATGTTATTAGTCATGAGTGCTGGAGGGGTTGCTCAGGGCCTTACTGAAATCAGAGCACTGAGCAGGGAGTTTCAGGACAGCAAGAGACTAACTGTGCGTCTCTGACCCTTTGTTCTCACTCAGAGATTGTGCAGCTCCACTCAGATGTTGTCTACACAGGTTTCATCTTTCCGCAGTATCTCATGATGCCTGTACAATCTTAGACTTTGTGCTGTTCCTTTATGTTCTGGTGGGGGTGGGGAGCACCTAGAAAGTTCTGATCTGTTTCAAGTGGTGGTTGGGAGTTGAATATGTTCTTAACTCATTGATGACAGCTTCTTTGAAGGGAATGGAGAGTCCTGGTAGCATTCATCCTTATATTCTTCATATCCGAGGTATTGTTTTCATGGAGTCTGTCACTCCATCCTTTGAAATAACATAACAGGGAGCATAAGATCCCAGCTCTTATCTGTGACCTTAGAGGGAATTTTCCTTCTGGGAAAGTAGCAGCAGCTGCAGTCTTTGCGGCTTGTGGCACTAAAGTGGTTTCAGACTTCTGTAAAATAATTTGTCCAAGAATCTTCCTAGACCAGTGTACCACGGCAACAGTTTGAGTGAATTTCATGGGCCAGTTTTTAATGCAAAGCAAAAGTATTTTTAAAAGAAACACAACACAGTGAATCTGCTAGCGTATGTGTAGATTCTTACACTCACGTGCCACATCATGTTTCGGTCAATGATAAACCATATGTAAGCCTACCTAGAACAAATCAACTTGCATAAAAATATAATGCATGTTAGTTAAGTGTAAATGTCGTGTGTAATAATAAATACTTCGTGAGATCATATCTTTATTTCACAAATAGCTGTGACATTCATTCTGAGGCTGCAATGGCTCTGAGCACTTTATAAATAATAACTTCATTGGTTTATCACAAATTCATGAGATAGACAATATTACTCTGACTTTATAGGTATGGAAGCCATGTATCAAGAAGCTGATGGACTTACCTGGACTACTTAGCCACTAGCTGGCAATGGTGAGCTTCTCGCTGAGGAACAATTATAGATGAACATATTACTGGATTAACACTATACTGCAGAGTCCAAAGGAAGTTCATGGTACAGCACATGGCATTGACCGTCTGCATTATTATTGCTTAGCATTGATTTTTTAAAAAATTGTTATTGGAAAGGTGGATATACAGAGAAAGGAGAGACAGAGAGGAAGATCTTCCGTCCGATGATTCACTCCCCAAGTGAGCGCAACGGCTGATGCTATGACGATCCAAAGCCGGGAGCCTCTTCCGGGTCTCCCATGTGGGTGCAGGGTCCCAAAGCTTTGGGCCGTCCTCGACTGCTTTCCCGGGCCACAGGCAGGGAGCTGGAAGGGAAGCGGGGCTGCTGGGATTAGAACCGGTACGCATATGGGATCCCGGGCTTGCAAGGCGAGGACCTTAACCACTGTGCCATTGCGCCGGGCCCTTAGCATTGATTTTTTAATGTTCTTATTTGGCCAAGTATTAGTTTTACTCTCTTAATCAGTTTTTGTCCCCTTAATTTGCTTTTACTTGTATACCACACAGAGAAACTGAATGTCCAGAAGCTACTCAGTTTTACACCTTTTCTGAGCCTCAGTTTATTCATCTCTCAATTGAAAACAGTCCTTCCTGGTTTTCCTACTGCCTTAGATTTTGGAAAGTTTGAGACAGTTTATAGGAACATAGTTTGAATAAAATCATAATGCCAACATACATTGCTTTGATCCATGGTGAGAAACAGTGTTCACATTTCATATGATTCAGAGACTGTACTAAACAGCAAGTGGTGCAAATGAGAGCCAGCGTCTTCTGGCCTTGCTTACTGTGTGCCTGCGCATATGCACCTGAATGCACTCTAAGATGAAAACCCCTTCAGTGTGTTGGCTTCATGGCATAGATAGGTTTTATGCTATTTTACAAAATACAGCGCAAGTTTGAAATTCTCAGGACCTCAGAAGGTCCATGAGAGCCACCTTTTAAAGTGGGGTTACAAGGTGGGCATCAGAACCAATGAATCTCAAGTCCTTGCAAGCAAGACAGTCAGGCTGCGGTGAACAGAGCCTCCAGGCCACAGATATTTGCACAATTTTACTAGGACAAACACCCAGGGTACCAATGCTTTCATGGAAATTCTGGCTGTGTGACTGTGTTAACTTTGGCTTAGGCTTGAAGCTATTTTCAGAACTCTTCACAAACTTACAGGAAGTACCTTCCCTTTTTATTTACATTCAGCATTGTTAGTTTTAAGCACTGCACACACAAAAAGACCTTTTCCTTTGCCTCTGCGAGTAGTGCCTTTTTATATATATATAATTATACATATATGAACAGCTTTGAAACCACGAAAATGCACATTTGTGGCTAAAGAAAAACCCTAACTCTTGCATGATTGAGATGCTAGATGTGATGGCTCTTTCTAGAAAAGCTTGAGGACTCCCAAACGTGGTCGAGAAGACTGAGCTCCCTGGGCTCCAGTGTGAGCTGTGGCAGAGCCAATAAACACATGAAGACCAGAGGCTCCATGGAGAGTCGGGGCTCCCCATCTCTTTCATGAGTAATGAATGTGGCAACCACAGAGTCCTGGAAAGGATTGAGAATCTCAAATCTGCAAGACGACTTTCAAGTAGGTCAGCGCACTCTTCCAGGGACTTGCTGGGGGGATTAAGGAACGAACAAGAGTAGGTTCAGGTAGAACAGAAGGGGCTTGGAAATGAGGGGATGACCGGGCGCGCTGGAAACCCTCCTCCCGCCATCCTGAACTGTGCATGTTTAAAGTTTGGTTCTCTAGGACCTGTTGTGCAACCTGACCAAGTTTCCCAGCCCATCTCCCTAGAGGAGTAAGGCAACTTATTCCCAAAGGGGCCCACCTAAGGTAGCTGTCTGACTCAAGGCTGTCTCACTGTCCTGGGTGGTCTCGGGCTTTTGAAAGGGAGCATCCTTCTCCTGAGAAAATACACATGAAGTAAATAGAACAGAAGTTGGCTCTTATGTCCTGGTCTCCTCCTTCCACCCCGATGCCTTGGTGCTTGCTTCAATACAGGGGGCTTTCATGTGTCAGATACGTACATGCCTGGCCTAGATTCCAGTAAAGAGCATTGGCAAGGGGGAAGAAGCAGGGCGCTTGTAGGTTCAAAAGAGCTGCCATCATCTGGTGACCTTGAAGACTCCCCTCACAACTCAGGACACAGTTTTCAAAGTGATGGAGGCTCACAGAGAAGTGAACTATTTGTACTA